AAAGCATGGTGTTTCTTTTGTTGTTGTTTTGTTTCTGATGCTTGTTTACAGTCATTTATTGAGCACCGATACAGAGTAAAATCTCCAGGAGCTAAGGAGTTAGGGGGTTAGGCTGAAGACGCTAGGATCTGATCATGATTGTACAGTTTAGCATGGGACAGGATATATGGAAATGGTGATTTAAGAAAAAAACTATTTTCAATTTTAGTAAACTTCTTAAACGTGTTAAAATATGAAATGATAGTGCAACATGTAGGTACAGGTATTAACTTAGGTATGTAAGTTTAGTATTATATAAGAAAGACCTGTTGGACAGGTTAAAATCTGAATAAGAAGAGTTACTGGCCTAAGCACCTGTATTTAGAGTTTTTGTTAATGCTTAATCGGCTTTTGTTAGCTGTAATTGCCTCTTGAAATCTGAACAGAATATTTTCTTACAGGTTGGTTCATCTGGTTTGGGACAATGAGTGACTTGCACTGAGAAAGCAGGACTTTTTTTTAGTCTTCTGTTTTCCTTCAGTCTGTAAATAAAAATGATGCCAGAGGACCTACCAGATCCAGTCTTGAGAAATATGACCAAAATAAGCAAAGCTACACATGAGGTACACACAAAACTACCATTGTTCGTTAAAAGCTTACGTACAAAACCGAACCACATACTTCAAGCTTACCTTTTCCAATACATACATTTCAGTTAAAGTAATAGCTTATAATTGAAATAACATTAAATGCTGGGTTTGTGCATTTAGTCAAATTTCAATTTCCATATAAATGAAGCTCAGCAGACAAGAACAAACAATTAGCGTAGCAAATGAAAAGTGGCATTTCATTGTATTAAAGACTCAAATCTATACCAGTTATGTAAATACTAAACCCTAACTTGCATCCATGGTCTTTAGTTACCAAAAGACTTACCTTAATGTATCAGACTTTACTGACTGGTGAATCTATTAAAGAGAATTTAAGTCATTGCAATTAGAAGAACCCAAAGTTTCATAATCTGTGATTGCTGTCACTGAGTTTAATCTTTATATCAAACCACTCTCCTGAATTGAGACTTATATTTTAGAGGCTTTAGTTTAGAGCTCTGGCTCCTCATCTGTATTTTTTTCATGCATTTACCCACGTCTTAAATTGTGAGTTGACAAGGCATTGAGTCTTTTGTACCACTAGCAGTTTATGTATCAGAGTTAGGAATATATGGTTTATAAGTAAGGGGAACCTTCTGTCTGTCAGGGATATATTTCTACCTGAGAAGAGATTGGGATTTCTAATCTTCCTTTTTCTACTGGTTCCTGTAGTGGTGAACTTCAGTGTGTTGGAAATACAGGGCTGAAATTTAGATTTTGAAAGCTTCGATGTGTTCACCTCATGCTTTACAGGAGATGTTTAGTATATGTACCTGAGACAGGGCCTCTGGTGTTTTCATTGGATGTAGAATTCCTTCAGGCTGCATTCCTTTTAGATCTCTGTCTTGAATTGGGAGAGGATAAATAATCCTGTGAAGACAGTATCAAAGCATTCTCATTCACCCACCAGCTTATCTTCACAGAAGTGTTTTGATGAGTAGATAGTGCTTGTAGAGAAGTGCTTTTTTGAGGTTCATGGGCAGTTGGCTTCTGTCGCTTGGCAGAAATTTTTACAGCTTGCTGGTTTTTGCTCATTCCCAAGAGCTATTTCCACCCCTGCTGCTTCTCTTACCTCTGTGGTGGTATGACCTGGTCCAGCCCTTCAAGGGTCCGAGCTGTGATTCTGGTCAGTAATCAAGGGTTTTCTTACAGTATGGAGGTGAAGGTCCCAGCTCTGTTCACAGGGCAGCTTCTGGTAGCACAGGGCTGAGACTAGCTGTTCTGCTTCTGAGGAGATGTGTGTAATCCCAGCATATCAGAAAATATCTTCTATTAGAGCTAATGTATAAAAAAATTAATCAAACATGCTAGTAGATGTTCTAGCTTCATTGGCAGGCAACTATTATGAGGCCCCAATTCCACATTAATTGATACTGGATCTGTACAACTGTATGTCTGCTGAATTAGTTGGCACATGCAATCTTTCTGGTTGCAGGGGGACAAACAATGCCTGATCTGACTGAAAATTAATGTAGACAGACAATAGCTTCATTTGATCTGTAACTTGCTATTTCAAAGCCAACTCATCAAATTCATTCAGAAAATTAAACTAGCAAGGTGAGCTGTATTGAATCAACACTTTGTCCCATGTGGCTATTGCAGTCTTGATTTGATATTGGAAGCTCTAAAATGAGATTTAATGTGTTGAAAAGTAGTCTCAGATACTGGATATAGATCCTTTCTTTAAAATAAACCAATTATTTTGAGTAAATAATTATCCCCTATATCTTGCATTAAAAAGGGGAAGATGAATAAGAAATTAGCTCCAGTTTGAATGCAAGTAGGAGTTGTCCTAATCCAAATGCACCTCTGAACGACTTCAAATGAAGCAGAAAATACAGGTTGCAGGTACTGTAATGCCCAGGGCAGCACGCTGACCGAGGGCGCATCTGCTGCAGCAAGGATGCACTTGCGACTTGCTAGCAGTCAGGCTCCAGAAGGAAAACATTCTCAATTACATGGAAAGATTACACGAGATGATTAAACCCAAAAGGGCTTCCTGAATTGCTTTATAATGGCAAAAAGGTGTTTGGTTTATGAAACATGTGAAGCTGGCTGGAAATTAAAGCAGGGTGGGTGTGTATTTTATTCATCTGCCATGAAGTCCTTCCTGTGGATAATGCTTGTTGTAAATGTCTATTTTGAGTTCTTAGTAGAAAATCTGGAAATTAGCGTGCTCTAAAAAAATTTAAAAAGCTACTTGAGCCCTATGTTGAAATACATGATGAGGGCTGTGAAACACCTGGCATTCAACATGTAATTGGGAAAATCTTTGGAACAAAAGCTTTCTGTAAGAGTGTAAGCAACCACCTTGAAAACTTAGTTTTTTTCCTATATGAAACCTAGATTTTTCTATTAGTCAAAAATGCTGTCTGTTTTGTCACTGACTGACTTAGAAAAATAGTATTTGGCAGCTATAGGAGATGAAGACTTCTTGTTTGTATGGTACTATTTTAAATTTATTTATAATCTTACCTGATTTCTAGTGTTTGATTCATTAAGTTTCCAACTGTTTTGTAAGTTTTCTTTTAAATTTCAAATTACAGGTCCACGACTAGCTTTGGCAAGACTTCTCTCAGGTGAGTGACTCATGGACAGGTTATATTAGCTAATAACATGTCCCAAAAAATTGGTATTGGGGTTTTTTGCCTTCACTTGACACTAAGTTTTATCTTGGGTTATATATTAAGCTTGTAGAACTGATACATGGTCTAAACTTGATTTCAATCTGTCTTCTCTTTGTATGTCAGTTAAGGAGTTTTTTGCTCCCTCTGGCCAATTAGGATATAACAAACTGTTGCTAGAGAGAACAGGCGAAGTGTTACTGGAGAATACATTGCTGTTAATTGTTGGTATTTCTGGAAGACAGACCTTGGTTCAGGTAGGAGTGTGCTGGTGAACCAGCATGTTGCTTGGGGTTTAGGGAAGAAACATAGTGTTTTCGTGAAAGCACGGAAGCACCGTCAGTACAGCTGACCTTGCTCATGGGCTCATCTCATCTGTAGCCTTCGGCAAACTATGTATTTTTTCTGTACTTTGTTGTAACCACTGGCAGAGGGATGCAGTGGTTGGCAAGGTTGTTGAGGGTTAACATTGCAGAAGTGCTTTGAGAGGGTAAAGTGAAGAGAGTGTACAATGACACCTTGGTTCTTTAAGTGTTTTCATGTTCTCACGCTGCTTGAACTTCATGATGTTTTGTAAGTTTATATTATGTATAGTGCAAAAACTACAATTGCTGCTATTTCCAGTGTTTTATGTGCCTCCCTTCTTCCCAGCAAATGCCAGATGCATTTAATTGCTCTAAAATGAGATTTCAGTCTACTAAATTTTGTTCTGTAGCAAAGACTGCATCTGATTCTTAAAAGAAAAAGAAGCCTTTTATGTTAGTATTTCGTATGTGAATCATAATACTGCTGATGTAACTCATCACATTGTACGTGAACGCTGGAGGTGGTTGCATTTCCATTTTTCCACTTCTAGGCAGTTGTTGATGCCGTTAGCTAATGTTGTATTGGTGCCTCTGCTGCAGCAGCTGCTTGCTTGTAGCTGAACTTGTGCCATTACATATTTTCGAACAATACTGAAAATACAAAATGTTTCTGCTTTAACAGCTGGTGGAAAATACATGTTTTTAGTGCTGCTAGGAGGTGATAGTTTAAGATAATTTTTTCTTCATCTTTCCTTGCTGTGAGTTACCATCAATAGCTATGAACAGTGTGAGATATCTGACTTTAGGGACAGAAGTGGGACTGGTATTTTTGAAACTTTGCTGTTCTTTTGAAGAACTGGAAATCTTACATGGGTTGAAGAAACAGTTTTTATTTACCACACTCCTGGAAAGTACAACATCTGTCCATGTGTTAAGTGATTACTTGCATTTCGGGAAAGATGGATCATTACGTTGTGTTGTACTGTTGTTTGCTACTGCTCATATGTCTTCGTGAATCCTGCTGCTGGTGTGACTTGCCTTTTCTGTGGTAAAGAGACAGGCTTGAAATGTTTTCCTTTTTCTGCTATTTTGACTTAAAAATAGGCTACTGAAATGAAATGCTTGACAGGGTTGTGGAGACTAGCATCTATGCTGCGTATCCTTGCCTCTCCCAGATTTCTCTCTTCTTTAGCCAAGTATCTCACAGGTTCATTATAGGCTTCCATCTGTTTTTATGTATGTATTTCACCTCTGAAGGTGGCTGCCCTGGCTACCTGATGTGCTGCCCTGCGGGAGGCTCGAGCCCGATTCAGGGCTGTGCGGGGCGGATGGGGCCGAGGGGATATTGTCGGCAGGCAGCCCGTGCGCTCGGTGGGTGCTGTGGGGCCGGGCTGTGCTGCCCACCCTTCTGAGCTGCCCGACCGCTGCCGCATCTTGTCTGGATGACAGCACGCTGGTGGTGTGGCCTTTGTGGAAATCCATACTCCGTCAATGGCAAGGGGTTTCCGAAAGAACCGATCTTAAACGTCGGTCCTCGAGGAGGCCGTCAGGTATGTCCAAATGCACCCCGAGTGCAAGTGAGACAGGCAGATTTTCTCAGATGATTGCATCTTGTTTCTCTTTGTGCTATACCACAATAGACAGCAAATAGAAGCAGAACAATTCAGATGAAACTTCCAGAAGCTGCAGAATGATTTAGGTAGTTCAGTAATGCATGGGGGTACAGACTCAGGGTTAGGATGGCTCAGGAGGTGTTATTGGCAGTGTTTGCAAAATACAGAGACTTTCATTTCACAGTATTTCTTTTAGTGTCACTTTTTTCCCCTCCACAATACAATTGCATAGCAGTTCGTTTTCCTCAGACTGAAATAACTAGTGCATCTGACATAGCATGGTTTCCAATGGGAACAATTGTTCAGCTGGTTTGAGTGGTGTTTTAATAGAAATGTTTTGTACGCTTCCATGTATCCACATTCTTCAGAGAGGAGTGTCTGTAATACAGGAAGTAATGATATTACGGCATGTAACTGGCATTTTTTTAATGGCCATAATACTGGGATGGAGTTATCCTTTTATCCAAACCAGTCTTACGTAATTGTATATAAAATAGTAATAGCATGTATGAAGTTGTAGAAAGAGCAGAAGTATTCTTCACTGTTTTTCCCATGTGCACATTGGCTTGTCATGTTTTCCTGGTGGATGTTGCCTGTGAAACCAGAGGGCTGCAGAACAGCTTTATTCACAGGGGGTGTGTGACTTCCATTATAATCAAGCAGTAAAAAAAATTAAGTTTATTTACAGTATTGAATTTTGAATTGAATTTTACCATAACAGCAGATGGATGTAATGGAAACCTGTAGCTGGGCTGAGAATAGTCTTTCACGTGTTAAAATATCTACCACAGGCTCCAGTGTAAATTCCGTACTTGAAACTACAATAGCAGAACTTTCTAAGAAACATTCCACTGCGTGCTGACATTGCGCGAAAGTGGTGAAAGAAGCTGCAATGATTTACTGAAGAGTTGATGCTTTTCTGTGAACTTGAAATTTGAATAGTTTGAATTTCAGCTTTTGTCCCCCCCTAACTTAAAGATAGATTTTTAAGTTTTCTGTCTTGCTACATTGGGCAAGTGAAGCTTAACCATTTATTCCCCTAATGAAAAATTCTCTCTCTCTTTGGGTTAAATAACTTCAGTTATTGTTATGGGGGTGGCATCATTATGTGTTTTGGGGTTTTTTTTTTCCTCATGTCCCTTGTGCTTTTTCACTGTTAGCTGTTTGGACTGCGTAAAACTCTAAAAATGTAGAGTTAGTCTAGTAACTACTACTACTCGCAGTAGTCTAGCAGGTCTGTGTGAGTTCCTAGCCATTTTGTGACCTGAATGTTTGTTCTGAGTAGGTGGTTGCTAAGAGGATGTGCCCACTTATCTTTTCTAGAAGAGCAGGTCTGTGCTTTGAAGGTAAACCAGTACTAGAACTGGATTTTAGTCTAACATCGAATCAAAGCCTGTTATCAATATCCTATGCCAATTACTAGGTGTATGGGTACATCTTTTGAGAGTGCATGATGACCAGTTTTATTACGCCTGGTCATGTTGTCTGAATGCTTAAATGTGACCTCTGTCTTGATTTAGTTCAGACGTGTTTCAAGAAGGTAATATTTGCAATTACAGCTCTCTTAGTAGGTTGTAAACTGTGGATGAGAGAATACATAATCTGTATTTTAAATTTTCTTTTAGAGATTTCTCCCTGCAAAACAGTTACCTACCTGATTCCTTCAAAATCAGGGATGAGCATATTTTACTTTAAAACACTTTTTTTTTTTTTTAAAAGGGTCCTCATTCTGTAGATATCCTTACCTGGGATTATTGTAGCTTGCTGAGAGGAAAACCTGGTAAATTGCTCAAAAACAGTGGTTGCAAAATTGACAACCACCATCCAGAAGAAGGATGGGCTGTGATAGTCTGGTGTGAAAGCAAGCCTATGGGTGCTAATGGCAACTCACAGACCTGCCGTCTGTAAACAGGCTTAGAATTGTTCACTTTTGTGGACAGATTTCCCTCCCCCTCCCTGCAAAATGTTTTGAGGGACACAAAATGAAGCTGAATTACTAGGTTCTGGCATTTGATAGATGGAATTGATATAAAATAATTTTGAAAAAATTCTGCTTTTTATAATGCTAATTAGGTCTGACAGCATAATGATAGCAAGTAGGCAGTGCTTTTGGAGAAGCAGGAACTACATGTTTGCAGATATTGACAGCTTCTTGTAAAGGATGTGTTCGTATGGAGAAATCCTACAAAAGGGCTTAAGCTAGAAAGCGAAAACAGGTTCATGGATATAGAAATCATTTTACAAATACTTCTATGAAATGGCTTTAAATCAAGCTGGATATTTGTGCAAGTCTGTCAGGTCCTGGCATACATAGTGATTGGAATGGAAAAAGGATTCTAAATCTATTGCGTCATCTAGCACTTAGCTACCGTAGCATTTTTTTTGTTGAACTTTGGTTCTGAGAAAAGTGAACAAGTACTCTTAAGTGCACTGCAAGAAGTCAATGGGTAACGCTATGGTGATAGCTGCTCACATGGTTATCTTTATCAGGAAGTTTTTACTACGGATGTCTGAGAGAGTTATTTCCCAAGCACTGGAAGCTGGGCCTCCTGTCTATTAAAACCACAAATGTGCAGTTTAAAACATGGAAGTGATCTGAATCAAACAGTTTTTAACAGGCTGAGTTATCCAGAGGTTTTGTCCATTATGCTTCAGTGATATGTTACATGACAGATGATTAATATATGTATAGACTTGCAAGAATAAATAACACTTCAAACTTCTTTCCCAGAGCTCCGCTGCACCCCGGGGCAGTTTGCCTGTCGGACTGGTACCATCCAGTGCATCCCTTCAAACTGGCAGTGTGATGGATGGCCCACCTGCGAGGACGAGAGTGATGAAGTTGACTGTCCAGGTAAATAAAGCTGAGAAGACTGCTCATCACAGTGTCAGCTTGTTTTGCAGCAGTACTTTGACTCTTTATGATTGCTTGTTTATTTTTATTTGAAAGTGGAGATTGTTTGGTAGAAATGTAGCCATTATTAACAAACTTTGAGTTGGCTTCTCTTCATTTTGTGCAACTAATGCTACTATTTTTTTGCTGTCTGATGAATTATCCTTCCATTCTTACAGTCTGAGTAGGTATCCTGGAGATGAGGAGAGTTGTAGTCTAAAAAGAGACTTCCATGACAAGGAAAAAATTATGTTGTAATTAAACCAAAATGACATATAGGCCTGTGGTTAAATTTGGAATTACTGTTTTGGTTGTATATCACTCAAACTGTGCTGAGTGACACTGTTGGACTTGGCTAGAGAGCTTGTTTTATTGCTCCCTGTTCTGATTATGCTTCTTGTGCTTAAGTGGAGAACTTTGTTCTGCCAAACAAGCTGATGTATTTACTCTTCATAAACTCTTGTGATCATATGCTTTCAGGAGCCTATCACTAGCAGTGGTTCTCTGCTAAAGCTACTGGATATGAGCTGTCTTTAAGAAGCAAGCAAACAAAAATTTTGGATTGTGAATATATAATCACAGTTTTGAACATTTTCATTTGTTCTTGACAAACAGGGCAGTGCAACTCTTTTTCTGTGTGTCTTAAAAGTGAAGGGACCTGTAACTATTTTTTTTGGTAAGAACAGTGAAGCAGGGATCTGAAAGCATGAATACAATTGTAGCATAATTCAAAAACTTTTATCTCTACAGTGCGACTCAATTACATTCAAAAGCTGTTTTAGGAAGTTCTTTGCCACTAAACTACCTGATTTGCTTGGGAGAGAATAATATGAACTTTGCAGTTTTGTCATCACAGCATTCAGTCTGTCATCATTCTGAGTTTTTTCAGCTATTTTAGAGAGATGCTACAAAACAGTTACATCAGTATTTTACAGCAACAAGCTCTTCTAAATATTTTCTAGTGGAATTAGAGAAGTAAATCTAACACTCAGACTTTGAAAGTATACTATAGTTAGCCACCTCCCCAGTGTGTGCTACCCACAAATAATTAAAAGAATGTGTTCAGTGCTCTTTTCTAAAAAGCTTTTGACTACATTGCAGCACAGGGGGAAAAACTGTTTGTAGTTTCTTCTGACATTGAAAATTAAGCTGTACTGTTGATATTCTGTTTAAGGATATTCTTTACGATGTGGCTGTCCTTTTATAGTTGTGCTGTTATTCTTCCTCCTTTTTAGCTAACTTTGGCCAAATGTGAAAAACTAGGGACGTAATAAAATTCTGATGGTTAATGGAAGTCAATAGCTAGGGGAAAGCAGAGTCAAGTTAATGTTTGGATTTACTCAGAAAGCACTGAAGGCTTCACTTGTGGGAATATGGAACAACCACATTAGTAGAAAACAGTATTTTTACCTTCTCTTGTTGCCTAGCATATTAGTCAGCAATTTAAGTTGTTGCGTGGAGGGTGCAAAAGGGTGATGTTGACCCAAGGAGTGGAGTTACAAAGAACATTTGGTATATAGTTAGGAAGAGGATTTTATGAAAGTAACATTTCTCAGTAGATAGGCTTTGCTTTTGTGTTTGGGGTGTAGGTCTCACTGGTCTGGCCTGACACGATGAGAAGAACTTTAAGAAATCAAAAGACACGTGGGAGAGACTTGATTCATCACCATGTCTGTACGCAGGAAGAGGAGAATAACGTACATAAAGAATACTAGAGGGGAAAATGATGGACAGCATAGAGAAGGAAAGCATTCCACTTGATGAGAGGAGTAATTGGATAAGTAATTGGTGAAAAGGCTGTGCTCAGTAAAACAGCCAGAAACCTGGGTGTGGCATTTATGAAAGAACTGAGATATTTGCACAGTAATGCAAGGAGTGTAGCCAGCAAAACAGAGGGGAACAAGAACTACTGGTGTAGGATGCAAAAGCTCTATTCTACCTGTAACAAACAATTGGTGATACAGTGTTGTGACCTGAAATGGGTGTTGAAAGGCATGTGTTATTCAGAACTGTCAAGAATAAGGACAGATGGTGTGCTGGTGTGCATGTGAATGGCGTGCTGGAGTATAAAAAAAGAATAGTGTGAATGAAAGTAAATTGGAGGCCAGAATACGTTTGGAAGAGCATGGTTTTATGCTGAGGAAAGCAATACATATGTGACCAGTCACAGGAGAGACTAAGTCCTAGGGCATTGATTGGGGAGCTAATGTTACTAATAATAGTAGTACATAGTCGTAGTGATAACTTTCTTCTTTGGCCACTGAATTAACAAGAAATGATGCAGCTTTAAATTTAGAAAATACCTTTAGATTTAGATGAGCAATTGTGAGATGATTCAGCTAAATTTAAATACTTTTTAATTAAGGTTCTTAATTTTAATAAAGGCAGGCTGAACATTAAAAGAACTAGTTAGTGAAGCCACATGGACTTGTGAAACTTTGAGAATTAAAATATCTTTAAATTAAAAGGTATGAAATCTCTCTGAAGTATGAAAAGAAAGCTTGCAAGAAAGGGCTCTGAATCTGGTTGGGAAGCTTGTTACTTTTCAGCCTTTGAGCTACTAATGGCACACTCCAACATGAGCAACTCGGAAAACATCAATGGCAGTGAATTAGGGTTTTACGGTGGTGAGGAAGGTGTGTTTCAATGACTACTTAGTCATGTTGGTATTTTCAAAGGTTTAATACAAAGCCACTGTAAGTTATTTGGCAATGTTGGTTTAGTTCACCTTTTTTAGGCCTGATTTCATTCCTGTTAGTAAAAAAGCTGCTATTAAAATAAGAGGATCACTAATTAATAAATTAGTTTGGTAATTGTGTGTTTGAAGTACAAGAAACACTCCAAATCCTAAGACATTTTTGTTAGAATAATTTCTTCTGGCATTTTTTTTCAGAACACAATTAGGTAAGACATGAATTCATTGACAATCCAAGTAAGTGGATGAAATACCTGTTTTTGCTAGACCATATATTTCTCTGAAGATAGTTATCATAGCTGTTTTTATTCTTACTGTTGCTTTTCAGAATCACCTTTTTCCTTTAAAATATGGAATTCCTTTCAGTCCCAAACTTGTGATGTGTAAAGTGCTATTCCCCTTGCCCTTCCCACTAGGCACGCAAATGTTAGTGGAATCTGCAGCAGTGATTACCCTCAATTCATCTCTCTGGTAGAGTAGAACTGTTGGCTGCTTGGTCTTGTGAGCATACTAAAAATTGCTGGGAGGGTTTATGTAGCATGTGTCTGCAACTCTCTTCCACTTAAGCAGTGGAGACTCATGAAATTTCCATATCAACAGTAATCGATCCTAAAAATAGTTTATCTGAAAGTGGTGTATTCTGTGAAGTGGTAGAAACAGACATTAATATCTTAAACAGGGACTTTTTACAAATATGAATTTATTATTTCTGCTCATTTCCTCTTAGGTTTCTATGCAAGTAATCAAAGTATAACACAACTTTATAAAAGTTTTGTATTTAAACCTGTAAGAAGGAAGGCTCTGCAGTTTGCTTTTTACTGCTCATAGACTTTCCTGCTTTGCTTCTACCAGAATATCAGATCAGCTTCTCCAAATATCCTACCTTTTTTGCAGGTTAAAACTCGTTTTCAGCAGTATGAGTGGAGCAGGGTATAGTATAGCTCTGGTTGCGTTTTATTCTTATGCTACAGGCTTGATGTTTGGTTTTGTTACGTATGAATGCATGTCTTAAATTCGAGTGCCTTTCATAAATCCTATCCATACCAGTTTTTCAGCTCGCAATTATATTAGTGATCATTCTGTTTTCTTCCTTCATTTAAAAAAAAAAAAAAAAAAAAAAATTCTTCCCAGGAAGAAGTGATCAGATTGTGCTGTCAGCTGTCCTTGGACTTCTCCCAGCATCTGAATTTGAAAACCTTCATCTTGCCCTGTAGCGCGCACCCTTGCCTAATGCCACATTCTTCTTTTAGAAGGTATTTCTCAGTGCTATTTTCTAGACCTGCTTGGTCAGAAACAAGAACACTGGAAAGTTTCAGCGAGCTGAATTATTAGGGTTGTGTGGTGGTTTGTTTTTTTTTTTTTCCCCTGAGCTTGAGGCCACAATCAGTGACAGTCCTGTGGCAGCAGTTGCAAGCGGTGGCTAGCAGTAGTATGAGCAGCCCTGCAGTTCTGTGGCAGGCAGTATGATTTTTAAAAGTTTTTATGTTGAGATTGGGAGCCTAATTTCATACAGAAACAATCTTCCTACGAAGCTAAGTGTAAATGCTGATCTTGAGCAGTGTCATCTTGTATGCTGTTATTAAGGACTTCCCAGATTCTGTATCCAGAAGAAATGTGCAGACTCGGAGGTGACTTGCTGCAGCACATACACACTATGTCATCTTTGAGCCTGCAAAGTCTCCTTTGCGGAGCCCCTGAAGGTATGGCCTGGAACTGAGAAAGCAGCAGCTGTGGCACACAGTTTTGCAGTGATCATAAACAGCTTTGTGTGTTGTTTTGCCAAGGATACTGTGTTTGGTTGAAGTGACTGTTGACGTTTGTGCACTCTTTAGTACATCTTTTTTAAAGCTAGATAATAATGGTAAAAACCTCTGATCATTTTCACACCTTTTCTGAGCCCTTGCTGAACTCCTATGCATCCTTTTTACCCTGCTTTGTGGTGTTTAAATTATAAGCTCTTTACTGTCAGTCCGTTACTTTGCATAGTGCTCAGCACAGCAGGATGCTGTTCTTGGTTGGCATCTATTTCCTAGCATAATACAATTGATAATGCAAAGTGTGGAGCTGCTTGATCTGAGAAGAATCACTCCTCTCTGGGGACTTCTGAATGGTATTTCCAAATACTTAGGCACAAAACTGGATTTAGTCCTGAAGTTCTCTCTCCTCTCAAATTACTAGATGGAATTAAAAGCTTTCCAAGCTTTTAGTAGTTAATATGCTGGACAGAAAATTTGAAGCTTAGGTGACAAGGCAGCTTTTTATGTAAATTTTGAGAATCTGTGTGGTTAAACAGGAGCAGCTCAAATTTTGAAACAAGTAAGATACGACAAGACCTGGTTGCTTCACAGTTTTATTTTGACATAAGTACCTCCATCCTTGTGAAGGGTTTGGCTTGAGTGACTTGTCATCTGTGACACAGTAACTCCGGAAACTAGTTCAACTCCTTAAAATCCACCCCTTTATGAGTCCTGACCCTACAAGGACCTCTTTATATTACAGTCATTTTTTGGTGCAAAGCAGACCTTGGCATGCGTGGCAGATTGCAGTTTCTCTTCTAGCTTCTCTCAACACAGTTTTCCATTTGGCGTCATGTTTGCTGCCCCATGCAGTGCTGCTCGGCACGTGTGTGTTCTAGCCTATTCCTGTCTCAGCTGGTGCCAGCTCTCACTTTAGTGTGGTGGCAGCTCCTCGGCTCATGTTCCATTTGCACTACTTGGCTTTTTGCTTCCTTTTACGTGGTCTGAATGATGGAGGCACTGAAAAAGGAGCTGTCGGCTCTGCTTGTGTACTTGGCTTCTCTTAACAAGATACCATGTGCAAAGAAAGTGTTGCTGAGATCCTGTGGATAAATGCTGCAGAGTAATCTCCATGGATGTACACGGAAGAGTCTAGACGGCGTAACTGAATTCCTTCCACTCTCTATGAATAATGGGCAAGGTCATATTTCTTTCAGACTTAAACTTGGGTGCATTTGTCCCCTTTGTTTTTTCCACATCTCCACTGGGAACAGCAAAACTTGTACACACAGCACAAAGCTTTTTCTGTGAGTTATCAGGGCTGCATCTTGCAGACTGCAGTGACAGTGCTCGTTCAACTAAAAGGTAGTTAGAAATGTAAGCGAAATTTCTTCCTCTTCCAATTTCTTAATTTTTGTTAATTGTTGAATAATTGGGGGTTTTTTGTTCTGAAAAATTCAGATCTGAAAAATTTACCAATATAAAGTGTAGTAGGAGCCATCCAGCATGGCAAACTTCCATTCTAAATTGGTAGCTTGAAGTTTTAAACAACTGAAAATAGTCACAGAATCAGCAGTGTTGGGCAACTTTTTTGATGTATAGCACTATACTTAGACTGTAATCATGCTAGAAAGAATTAGATAGCAACTGTAAGTTAGAAGGAGCTGGTTGAATACTAATCATGCCTTGATTCATTTGGAAACGGATTGGAGGATGCTTGTGTCCACCATGCTGTAGTATTTGAGGAGAGAAAAAGAATTGTGCCCCATGAGTTTTTTCTTGAACTATTTTTCCCCTTTTCCCCACCAACTAACAGGCAAACTACATTTCTGGTATAATTGTACAAAGTCAAAGGAAACAGAACTATCTGTCTTGGCTAGTAAAAATACTACTGTTATTGCTTGTGGTTGTCGTATCCAGAAGAGTAAATGTTTTGGAAAATAGCTGATCTTCCAAAATGTGATAGCTTTCAGAATACTAAGTATGCACATAAGCAATAAAAATGATGGCTTTTCCTCTCTGAAACACTCAAATGTGGTTAGGTTGTGATCTTCTGACTTAGGTTGTTATCGTAAAGCTTAGTCCGTGGCCCAATTAATTTATTTTTAAAAGATAAAAATATTTTTATAAAGGAAGCAGGAACAGCAAAGTACATAGAAAATTCATCTGCAGAGTATTGAAAAAGTACAATAGAAAACCAGTCCAATTACACCTTTGCCACCAGAGTCCGCAACAGCTTTTCATGGCAGTCAAGTGACTTGGAGACTTGTTAGCATCTCTTTCTTTATTGCCCTAGAAAAAGCTTGTCATCATTACTTTTCTCAGAGAACGAAAATTCAGGTCAAATAGAAGCAATTTAATATTTGAAGAGCACCAGTTTATTAAGCAGCTGACAGTGTTGGGCTTGAAGGAGAAGTGACTTGTGGTGGCTGCTTGCTGCCTCTTCAGTCCTGCCTGGTTTCAGCGGCGAGTCTGCTGACACGGGCAGGAAGGAACGAGTGTCCTGCTTCCTGGGTGAGGACTGCTTCAGCTCACTTTGTGTGGGAACCGTGTGGCTATTTTTCAAAGCATCTGGCATAAACTCTGTCAATTTAAGATGTTAGCCCTAGTAACCCTTTCTTAACCTCGTGTGTTAAAACCTGTGAACTTCTGGTTTATTCCCCGGGGAGGTAAATTGTTAAGTCCTTGTGGGCGTTCTGTTTAGCCGTGGAGGGCCAGCCATATGGTGTTGCATCTGCTCTCACTTCTGAAAGGGAACTAATTTTTTGTGCGTTTGGTTCTTACTGGTTCTTTGGGTTTAGTTGTTACCATTTAATCCTATGGGAAAATAGGGCTTCCGATGCTGAGCTCGGTTCATCTTTGATAAAGCGTTTGACATTAGTTAGCATTATTTTTAAAGTCTTACTATAATTAAAGATTTGCTTTTTTAGTGTCTCAGTATCACTCTGAAAATTGTAGTGTAAATACTGCTACTGAACCATTAGGATTAACAACAGTAAAATTCTAAAACTAGAAGTAGATTGGCCTTAAAGTAATAAAAAATAATCGCTGATCTTCACTGTCAAATTATCTTACCATTTTGTGTCCTTTGAAATGTACACTAACTGAATTTCTTGGCAGTAACTTCTTGCCTGTGATAAATAAGGTATTCTAATATTGAACAGTAGAATTACTACTTTATTCCTGTAAGGCCATGTGAGTGTATTGTGCACAGCCATTTCTTAATGGGTGATCTCTATAGACATGTAATTCCTAGGATAATGTGATAATTAAATATCCCTTGCTTATCCCATTAACCCAGGGCAAACTCAGTCTGTTAGAGGCAGATGAATGCAAAGCTATTCTGCTCTTCCTGGGCTCCAGCTAGTGATATTTTTCTTTTGCTCATCAGTGCTAACATTTTGTTCCAAGGAGTGCATTGTTTGATGGTGGGTCTTCTGAAGGTCTTTCCTCCTTGGTAATACATCAAACGGTCTCCAGCTCTGGGTTTAAATTATCATGAAATTGCTGTGGACCTCTTGCTTTTTAAAGATAGTCTGAAAGGAGAAAGTTTTATTGACATAGTTTTGAATATATTTCAGACAGATGTAGTTAAACCTGTTGAAGACAACTATGTAGCTCCTCTTCATTTGGGACCGTGACTGGTTTATTTGGTTTAGCTGGGCTAAATACAGCTAATCAGCTTTAAAGGAAAATAAGCTGATTTTTTTATGTAGAAATGAATGCCTGCATAGCTCTTTGCTGGTTAAAGTTCATTACCTTTAATAACATCTAGTAGTATTAAATAACATACTAGTAGATATTTCCAATGCTTACATCCTTGTGCTCTTCATTTTTCTCTTTCTAAGGTTAATCCTTTGTTTCCAGATTAATCTTTCTCGGTGCTTCTTTCAGTCTTTCTCAAACATTTGTCCCCACCACTGTGCCAGCCTTCCTACTTACAATCTTACTAGTTTTTTCTGGCTATGGCTCATCCTGCAGCGTCTCCACCCAAACTGTGCACTCCTTATTTACTCCTGGTAGGCATGTGGAGACCCACAGCCCCTTTTCTGGAATAAAATTTTGCACTGTGTTCTTCTAAGTTAGTGAGTCCAGTTGTCATGTACGCATGTTAGAAACCCTGATGCTGAGATGAGGGTGTGTATGTTTTTTGTTTCAGAAATAATGAACTAACATTTGTTTTAGAAGCTTGCAAGTGAATGAAAAACCTTGTTCTTCTGGCTGAAGATGGGTTTCCTTTCCTGGTTTTAATTTTGTCCTAGATTTCAGAGAATGTGTTGGGGAAATGTATTAGAGAAGTTATCTTGTATCCTTGAACACACAACTGAGAAACGAAACAGCTGGAGAGTGGGTAGTTCGTAAACAGGAGCAGACAAAATGCACTGGGGATGATGCATTTGCTGCAACAACTGGAATGATGGGCGTTGGGGCCTGTGTACAACTGCAGGCTGTTGAGAATCTGCCAAAATACTTCGCTTACTCTGCAAGACTCATGTAATGGCTTGTTGGTTCTTTTCAATTGTAGGTATTAGGTACCTTGTAAAACAGCCAAGCTGTTGTTGCAGGGATCTACCATCTTTGTTTACTTGACTGTGTTACTTATCATGCCTCTTGAATGAAAACCCAGAAAAAGTTTAGTAAAATGAAATCTGCTTTTGCTTGCATCTTTCACCAGTACTTACTATTCCTTCTGGTCCCCAGGCTTGACAGGGGACCAGCGAACTTACCATGGGAAGGAGAATGTGGATTCCAGGCACAATCGAGGGAGAGGAGGAGAGACAACCCGCTTTCACACTGTCAATGTGGCACAGCCTGTCCGATTTAGCAGTAAGTTGCAGACTGGGAAATCTGGGCTATCCATCTGATAATTAATTTAGCAATTTAGACTAATTTTTCTTTTAAGGAGAAATTAATAGGTTTTTCTCTTGCATGGCTTTTGGACCAGATTTTATTCATGTGGAGTGCTTTTTAAGGTTTTGTACATTTATATATGTTTATATATAGTTTATATAACAGGCCAACACATGCAAAAGAATCCTACTTCTCTAGTAATGCTATTTTTGTGAAACCAGTGTTGCAATTTTCTGTTTTAATTCATTGCAATTACAGAAAGCTAGGCCCATGGTTTAAGTGATGGTTTCAGCCTGCAGCAGGGGTGATAGTCTAGCTCGTGTCTCTTGATGTGAGCTTGCATGGAGGATTCTTCCCCTGGGAAGTGGGGGAAAACCAAAATTGATTGCTCTTGATTGAAGTATTTTTGAAGATGATCTTAAAGATTTTGCACTATTAGTTAATTAAGTGCATCTCTGATGTTGTGAGTTTTGTACCCTTTTTAATAGGAAAATTAAATTTAGGGAGTGGGGAACTTAAGGAAATTCTTCACTCTGAAGAAAAAGTCTGTCGAGGAAGCATATAGCACTTGAGTGGGTTTCACCATGTTACTCCTATGAATCATTCAGGAATCTTCAAAACTATCACTTCAATGTCCTCCTACCCTGTCACCTACAGCGCTGCTAGTGGCACTGTTGGCATCCTGGTCCGAGCCTTATCTGAAGTGTTACAAATGTCCTGCAAGTGTCCTTCCTGCTGATCATAGCTTGTAGTAACTGCTGCCTCTGAATCTCTTCAGGCTCAAAACATCTAAATCTCCCCTGCCTTCTCCCTCTTGTCTTGGTTCCCTCTTTGTTCCAGGGATCATGCAGTGATTTGGGAATGTGAGCCTTGGAGGGAGGGATGGGACAGGTTAGGAGGAGCACATGGGGGGAAGACAGTATGGCATTAATTGGGAACGATTGCTTTGGACTACGCTGATCTTCTGGAAAAGACAAGCAATTAGCAAAAGTAAAAATTCACCTCTTTGTTAATTTTTTTTTCATTTTATTTTTTGACAACAATGCTTATTAAAATAGGTATTTGGTTTGTCATGGATTCTGGTAGCTAAATTATGTTAGTAAAATTTATAGAGGACAATAAAGCAATTCAGAAATTGATACAGCAATATCTAATATGCTCTGCAGTCTGATTGATACTATATTCTGTCCCATCTTAGTGATGTGAACAGTAGATCTTTAAAGATCCTGTATAAATGGAGGATAAGGAAGATATGTAATTAAAATGCTTCAAATCCAGGTTTGTATATCATAGTTTGATGACAAAGATCACTGTTTCTGAAGGGAATAGAGAGGCTTGAGAACAGGAACTGTGAATGCATGCAATGAACATAAAACAGTTTGTGAATTTAAAGTTCCTTTCTTAGGTGTTGTGCAAATTAATACTGCAAATGCAGGTGCTAAAATCATGTTTCATGTCTGGTTTAAATTTCATATGCCTGTCTCTGTGACTTTCTCTATTAGTTACCTATCACCCCCAAGAATGCCAGTCAAAAGCCCATGGGCCTGTTTCATCCGGAAATGCCTCAAGGCTTTTGTTGCATATTCCCTCAACTGAGTTAGTTGAGAGAAAGCCGAGACATCACCTTCTTACTTCCTAAAGATCCACTTTGCAGGGATGTTTTTCCAAAGCAAACAACAGTTGCCCCAGAACCCCCATTGTCTTTTGTGATTGACTATGGGAGCAGGATTATGTGAATACTACTGAGGCTGTTTGTAAAAGTAGGTTGAAAACCTCACAGCAAGTTGGATGTGTTGCTAACTACCTAATAGAAAGATAGAATCGTTAAATTGGCCACCTTTGGTTTTTTTCTTCCTGCTTCTTGCTGCTTGTTTTGACTTGGATTGATCGAACTGATTGGATTTATAAAGATGTGAAGGGAAAATATCTTCCACAGTAGATCATCAGCCTTAAAGACTCTAAAGGCTGTTACAGTGCAATAAAACATTGCTGGGAGTTGCATCTTTTAAAATAACATTTAAATAAATTTTCCTTTATAAAAAGCTGCAGTAAAGTAAGTGCTCTGTGATCTGTAATGCGTGCATCTCCTAGTCAGGTGAAGTACACACAGTATGCTGTGTGTACACATCCAAGTGATTATGCATTTCATTGTCATAAACTGATAAGGATGCATTATCTTGAAGATCCTAATTTGGGGGGAATGGTTTCCCTTCTATTCTTCATGTTTCCTAGGAAAGTGCCCAACAGGGTGGCACCACTATGAGGGCACAGCCAGCTGTTATAGAGTGTATTTAAATGGGGAGAACTACTGGGACGCCGTGCAGACATGTCAGCGGGTGAATGGATCCCTCGCCACCTTCACTGCAGACCAGGAGCTAAGGTTTATCCTGGCACAGGAGTGGGACTTGGAAGAAAAAACATTTGTAAGGAAGGACCAGCGTAGGTGAGTAGGAAGGAAAGGACAAAGATCTCCTATTACATGAGAATGGTTTCTGTGTGACACAAATGCTGGTAGTTCAGTTTGTTTAGAAAATCTAATGGTAAAATTGACTTCTGGTTAATAACCCAGAATGAGTATGCTGGTTGACTGGCAGTGATCATCTGTATTTTATGTTTTGATTAACATTAACAGTCTACAATTCAACAGAGTCTTTTTATCTTCAGGCTGTCCCAGCATGCACTAGTATTGTTGAACTGCAACAGGGAAGATGGAACTTACAATGACTTACTGCTCTACTACCTTATATACAAATAATTCTTTAAATTTTTCAACAGAATTTTTGTTTCCGTTAAGTACCAGTAGCTCTAACAAAGACTGCAAGTTTGAGATAAGAATGAAGTAAAAACCCATTTTGAGTTGGAAGAACTATGTTCTGTTGGCTTTAGATATTTCATTCTGTTAGTTCACAACAAACATAATTCCTTTTTTTTTTGCCTGTGGGTTTTTTGTCATTCTCATGGGCTGCCACGACATCACCAGGAGTGGTTCGGTAATGGTGTGTGTTGGTCTCTGGAGAGTTAGAAGATTTGATCTGGAACAGTCTGACATAAGTTGTATGTGTTTATAAAAGTGTTTGACTTCTAGATGCTTTTGTGTGGTTTTGGGGTTTGAGGTACTGAAGTGCTGCCATAACAACAGAATAAGGTGCTTAGTATGAGGAGAAATAAAAGACACGGTGAGTTATCATTTGTAAACGTAGACAACTATCAAGTATTTCCCTCTGTTCTCAACTGTAGTGTCTCTCTCTACATTGCCCATGTATGGGCTGAAATGTTAAGGAACAAATCAGAATGTTTTGAAAGTTAGCTTTTAAGTATAAAGACATTGGAAGATTCCATGTAATTTATTTTGTTAGTATGCTTTTGGGTCTGTGTCTTGAAAAATCTAACTTTTTTTTTGTAGGTTCTGGGTTGGATATCAGTATGTGATCACCAATCGAAATCACTCTCTAGAAGGTCACTGGGAAGTAGCTTATAAAGGTAGGCCTCAAATTATTAGTTAAATGGCCTATGGAAACTGTCTTAAAGCATAAATACTATTTGCAAGAACAACTAACTTTTCAGTGGTAGTGTTGAAATCAAGTAGGGGAACTGCTTTGCTTTACAGCATCAAAACAGAAGAGTTTAATAGTCGATACATGTCTTATTTTCAACCAAGAAGTTTCATAGCTTTTTACATTGGTGTCTTGTGGAAAGAACACATTTTTCAGTTTACTTGAGCTTTCCCTTGATTAAGCTGAGAAAAAGGAAACTACTCTCTTGTTTCTCGTTCTTCATGGTGAATGTCTACGTGAACTGCTGATTCCTGGTTCTAGTATTTGCACAGATAAGCGTAAGATATTTGGGGGTTTTAGCTTTTTAAAAATCGGTAGATTTTTATATACTTAAATATGTTGAATTTTGCAGAATTACCTAGATTTTTTTTCATTTTAACCACGACAAAATTTGCCTAATCCCAGAAATAAATCCCAGTTTATATGAAAAACTGAACATTAATTGGATAGGCATCTTTGGCTGAACTTTTTCAATTACAAAATAAGCAGCTCCCTCTGCTGAAAATGCAAAGTTATGTTTCTATACCTTTTATTTTTAACTAATTCAGTTGAGGGATTAGTTAATCTTAAAGTTATTATATGAACTCTTATGTGTAGAATTGAATGTCTAAATGCTGTACTAGTTTACGTAATGCAAAAATTTAAAACAAAGGGATTTTTTTAGGCATGAGCACTGTGAATTCCAGTGTAGCATTTGAAAACTAATCTGAATAGCTTTCTTCTCTTACACAATTTTCAATAATGGAAAATCTGCAAGGAAAACTGCCCATTAGGTACAGGTACATAATTACGAACAAAACAGTTGGATCTTGGAAAATACTTCCTTTGACACATGAGAAGTAGTAGAACTCTGCATAGCTTTCTAATGGCAGCACTTGTTTACTGCCATGCACAAAATTACTGATTTCTTCTGTCATTTAAGTGAACAGAGTTGATGGAATATTTAGAGGAAACTGCCCTCTTGTGGGGGCAGGAACACTTTCATTATTTCCTTAAAGCAAAGCACCTAAAGATGTCTTTGGGCAGCAGGGGATAGGGAGGGAGGAGAGTCCAGCTTTTTCTCATAATATGGATTTCTGGTCTGGACAAAACTGTTTATATAGGTAGGTTTCTTTTGTGAAGCCCAAGATAAAAACCAAAACATTCTCCTTAAAAGGACCTTTCTTTGCTCTTTGGAAAGTTTACTGCACTGCCATCTGCTGACAGTGTTTACAACCAACAAGGCATAAATTATAGAGAAATCATGATACCCGTTTTTATCCTAAGTTTTATTTAATTTGATGCATTATATAGATTTAAGCCTTCTCAATGCCATATATTACTTTGTTTGCAAGCTTTCTATTTAGTAAAGGAATACCTATATGAAGTAAAGGACGTAGTGTTCAGTAGCTTCTGAAAAACTACTTAAGCTTCATTGACTTGTAGTGAGGCAGACTCTGAATTCCTAGTTTCTATTTGAAAAGTGATTTAGGGTCCTATAGCTTGGAAATTTTAATCTGTTCTTGGGAGATGTGGAAGGTAAGCTCTCAAAAAATGATAGCAGAACCTAGTTGCATTTAAAAAAATTAAACAAAAAAAGATCATGCCTGTTTGAAAGGACCATTATGTGAGAAGACTGCGTAACATGCTAACTGCAAGAGCTGTTAAAACAATGTTTAAACACACAGATTTGGAAAGTAGGCTTCAGAAAACATGTAAATAGGCTAATTTTCACAATTGTTGTGTCTTGGTCTTCCATTATTTTCTGCAACTTTGCATACCAGCAGATTTAACAGTGAAGTGAGACACTGGTCAGAAACAACATTTTAAAAGTTATAAAATGCCCTCAACACCTCTTGTACTGTTTGGAACCCATCACAGTACAGTCTCAACAATTACGTGAGTTGGAAGGACCAGGTAGTCTGTGCCACCGCGACAGCAGCAGAAGCGGCGTTGCAGCCTGGTTTTCTGCGTAGCACTGCTGTGCACTCTGAGTGAGACCTGGGGGAGCAGCTCTGCAGTGCGCTGCACAGGATGGATGTACGCACATCTCTGGAAGCACTAGTAGGTGCTTGGAGTGTCAGGCACAAGATTGGTGTGGGTTCTTGCTCCACTAGTAGCATGTGTGGCCAAACGCAGGGTTGTTTGAAGGGGTGCCTAACTACTTACAGGCAAACCCATGGGACTCTTGAAAGCAGCACTTGTAGAGATATCTGAGCATCACTCCTACTGGTGCAGAATGACAAAATTACCCAGTACTTTGAAAACAGCAGCCTCTTCTCTCTGTGAGTCACCCCTTCCCTCCCCGCTGTTTGCCTTCCCCCGGGGAAATGTTGCTAATGGCAGCTAAAGCAAGAGGACAATAGCCTTGCAGCAGTGTTGGTGTGCATGAAATAAGTGACATTACAGAGCCTTTCTAAAGCTTTGCATACCTGCAGGCTGCTTATACCAATGCATCTTGTTCTAGGCTCTTCAGAGGTATTTTTACCCCCTGACCCTATCTTTGGTACGGCTATGTCTGAAAATGAAAACGTTCTTTGTGCCCAGCTTCAGTGTTTCCATTTTCCTACCCTTCGGCACCATGGTTTACACAGCTGGTATGCTGAAAACTGCTATGAGAAATCTTCATTCCTCTGCAAAAGGAGTAAGTTCGGTTTAGTTCAGTGTTAACTGTGTTGCGTGTGTTAAAATGCATATAACAAATATGGGGAAATTGGTTAGTTATTTCTACCTTTTGCCCAGTTAATTAAAAAAAAATAGGGGGTGGATGTGAAATTTCTGCTTAGTTTAAATACATAAGAGCATCATAATGTGTGGTTGCCAGCCACAGTACAGATTTTCACTAAAAATGATTGTTAAGCAGCTATATGAGCCCCAAAATAAAGTATACTTGGGAGAAAAAAAAAAGGTTAAAAGTGTGCCTTATTAGTAAATATCACTCTTAAATTATTAACTTCACATGAAAACGAGGAAACATTTCTGGTTTGAGTATAGCAAATTCTATTAAATTATTTCCAGCCATTTATTAGAACTGGGGGGAGGGGGAAGGCAAGTGGAGCTACTGACTTAAAGTGAAAAAAATGCCTTTCATTCTGTGTCTTGCATTTCTTTACTCCAAAAGGCTTTATACCAACAGAGGTATTGGCAGTATTTTCAGGTAATATTTAAGATACCTGATATAATGGTGCCTCTTTGCAAGAATGAGAAAAGTTGTTGAACTTTTACTGTAGTTCTTGAAGATTTTCTAGTTAGCTTTTTCTTTAAAGCAAGAAAGAGACTTACAGAATGGCAACGGAGGGAAAACTCAGCCCTCCTTTGCCTGCTTTTGTGCCTGAAATTTGAAAATTAGGAAGACAGGATGTTGCCTTGTCTACCTTGAGATCCAGCTTTTCTTAAGTAGCAGGAGAGAGGGAGGGAGCTGCAGCAGGCATGACAGTGAGGCTTAAACTTCTCAGACCACTTGCTTTCCTGTGTCTTGGAGGGGATGCCTGAAAGTGTGTCAATTCCATTAAATACTTAAAACTCACTTTGTCAATTTTGAGCAGTAAATCATCCCTGTGTGCCTCCAGACTATCCATTATCTTCCCCACTCCTTGGAGATCCCTTTTCAAAATTGCTTTAATGTGAAGGCATGGCTTTTAACTGGTGGTCTGCTTATGTTTACAAATCACTTAATGTACCAGAATAAACTGGACTCCTGTCTGGCAGGCTCACAGACACTTGGGTATTGATGCATGTTTCTGTTCTAGGCCAAACTTGCGTTGATATCAAAGACAACATTGTCGATGAAGGCTACTATTTCACTCCAAAAGGGAATGATCCATGCTTGAGCTGCACATGTCACAACGGTGAACCTGAAATGTGCGTGGCTGCTTTGTGTGAACGGCCCCAGGGGTGTCAGCAGTATCGCAAAGACCCAAAGGAGTGCTGCAAATTTACATGTTTAGACCCAGGTAAGAGTTGACTGCTACAGTTTTGTCAAGAAAAGGAGTTCAGTTCTCAATTTGATTATCTTTCAACTTGGTTTGAAATGATACATCCTTTCAATGCCTCGACATTGCTGGGTACAACCCCCCTGTGGGGAAAGATCTCAAATCACGGGAAATGAAACACTTCAGGCTGTGGCTACAGATAATTAGTCATCCTTGATGCTACTTCTAGGAGAAGCAGTAGTTTATTTTCTGTATGGAGTTTGACACTACTGTGGATTTTTAGTAGAGTGTCTTGCATGTTTCCTTTGTCATGTTTAATGGTCATGAAAAACTTTTCTCTTGAGCACTGATTAAGCATCTTTTTCTGGACATGAGCATTTATGTGTGTGGAAGCTTGCATGCAGGGATCATGTGGGAAGCAAAATTTAGAAATTTATAGAGATTTTCAATAATAATCAGGATGTGCAACTTTGTTTATTGGATTTGGCATCCCAGTGCAGCTTCTTGTTTAGATCACGAAAGTGTTCAGTTGACTCAGACTGAACTGTTTTGTCAGTCACCATTTGGGGATGTAGATGGTGGTGGGGGATTATTTTTCTATAAAGAGACTTGTGAAACAAAATGTATCTTACTTAGAATTTAGTGTGAGAGTCATCAAATACTGGAGCAGATTGCTTGTGGAGTCCCCATCTGTGGGGATACTCAGTGTCTGATTGGACTCTGTCCTGGGCAACCTGTTCGAGCTGACACTGCTTGAGCAGGAGTTGGACTAGATCTCAGGATGTCCCTTCCAACCTCAACCATTTTGTGATACTGTTATTTCCTGGTATTTTAAAAGGACCTAATCTTACCTGAATGCACTAAGAAACTATTGCTCTGAACTCCTATGGAAAACATGGAAGGTCAACTCTTCCCATCAGAGGCTTCTATTTCAGTCTGTTACAAAAAAGGGGTGCTTATTGGCTTTCAGATTTGCAGTCTTATTTGTCTTAACTACAGAAGTTAATTGTTAAAGGCCACTGGCTCCTCCTTGCTGTCATTCACATTCATCCTGAGGGTTAAGCTTAACAGATGTTTGTAGGTAGTGTTGCAGGTTGGTCGGTGAAAGAATGGGGAAGAAGCAGGAGTCTTCCTCCCACTCTTATCAACAGAGTTAAGACTTTGTCTTCACCTTTTTAACTGCAGGAACAGTGTCAGCAAAGCATCACCCAGCAGCTGGGATAAGATGACCTGGGATAACCTCATGCTGTGTTCTTTAATCCTTGCTTATTGCTGTGGGTCTTAACTATTTCATGAATACTGATTTGAAGAGTGTATTTTATCACATCCCTTCTGATCCTTAAGCTCTTCTTTCTGTACTGATGCTAAATAAAACTGTTTCATTATACTCTTGCCTGAAGTGTTCTGGTTTTTTAGTAACTTAGCTTTTAAGAGAAGAATCATCAAGCAATTGTCAAACTTTCAGCTAGTGATAAACACTGAAATTTTTAAATGAAACATTTCAATTTTCCTTCTGGGTGTTTATAAATGACTATTTGACAAAATTAATTAATTACTTTCTTTAATCAGCATGTATTTATCTTTGCCCAATTCTTACATATATCTTCCTAAGCTCTGTTGTAAAGGAAAGAAAACAGCTTACTAATCAACAGTAAGTAAATTAATCACCCAAGGAGACACCGGGGGGGGCAATAAATCCTGCTGTTGGTTTGGCAGGTAATCAGCCCTCGCAGTGTGAGTGGGTGAGCAACAATTACAAGTGGATAAGGAACATTACTCAAGGACTTGGTAGTAGGGGAATTTTTCAGTGGTAGCAGTAAGCTGAGCATTCACAGCTATATTATCTTGAAAGATGTTTCTCCTCATTTAGTTGAAGATAAATAGCAGAGGAAAATCTTTCATGTACTAATGTGGAAACTGAGGCAGTCTGTCTGTTGCTGCTCCGTGGATGTGATAGAAGATAATTTTTCTGTGTGGCTCTTGTTTAGACAGACCTGCAACTCTTATTTGTGAAAAGGAAGTAAAAGAAATAAAACATTTCGAAAGAGCTGATGGTGCAGAAGCTTCTCTAGTGACTCAGCTGGTACAGTTGTAGTGTGTATTACTACTGTCTTGAGTGTAAAACAGCCTTTCTGAAATAATCTATTTGTATTTATGTGGGTTTGAAATCTCTGTGATGCTTGCCTTGTTCTGTATAAGCAGGGTCTTTTTTTTTTTTTTTTTTTTTTTAATCTCGGACTTTACTTGACAATAGTTTATCCAGCCACACTGGTTGAACATTAGGAGCTCTCACAGGCTGAGAGCAGTGTGATAGAGGCCCAAGACGCCTCTGAAGTTCCAAGAATTGCAGTTTTAGCTGGCCTAAAGAGAATACGTGGAAGTCAGGCTTTCTGCCTAAAAAACTTGCGTCATGCTTGCCTGTGTGCATATTTTACTTAAGTCACTTTAAGGCAGTTACTAGCATTAATTTATGATGTTCATGAAGTCAGCATTGCCATAAAATGGAGGAACAGTGGCAGGTCTGCGGTGTTCAGGAGGGTGTGTTGGTTGGTAGGTGTGTGACTGCATCAGCTTAAGCTCTGACAGTAAGAGTTGCTGAAAGATTTGACAGCACAGAGGCTTTTGTACTGCGCAGCCAGATTTGAGAGGGTGTAATGTTCAAGCTCTATGCGTAGTGCACTATTAAATAATTTTCTTGTCGCCAAGAATGCGTTAGGTTATAAATACCACCAGCCTGTTAGCCACGTACTTTAACGGTGTATAAATTAGGTGGATTTTTCTGTTACTAGCATTTGTAGCAAGCCAGTATTTACAATTTTTTGTGAAGCTTTTAGCTTTCTTTTGTAAAGAATCTTTGATACAGCTTTAGCCGCTGTTAGCGGAAGGAAAAGTACTGAGAGAGCTCTTGCAGCTGTGGTGGGTGTGGGAAAGGAGAGGTGGCCAGGATCTGGCTGGTCGCTCTAGGAAGCGTGGTGGTTGGGAAGAGGGTTTGCACGTGGTAGTGCTCGTGTCCTGTAGCAGCGTGTGACCAGGTTGTGCAGCAAGTTCATCTGTTTCTTATCCACACCTAACCTGGGCGCGTTTCTCGTTCAGAGCTCTTTAATGGAAAATGGGTGCAGAGAACAAGCACAGTCATTTTTAGGTCTGTCATCTTTGCGTAGAGTATCTGTATGTGCGCGTGCTACTTAAGCATAACCAAGTGTGATAGAAATAGTATGGAGATATGCCAGCTCTCAGGCCTTTCCCATAGCTTCCAGGCTTGCTGTCCTCTTTAGTGTAACGTCATCAGCCGTGCCAGGGAGACAAGTGGATGTGCAAAATGCCATTAACCTTTCCTTTTTCCCTTTTTCAGAGACCTGAAACCTTCAACAGTTTGTCCCTTTTGCTAATTAAGATATTTTTAGAAATATTTAGATGATCTTGCAATAAATAGATAAATCACCTGATGATTCATAAGTTTCTTACATTTTTGAAATATGGAGAAGTGTCACACCAGGCTAATGAATCTCCACTCTGCATTTCTTTCTCCGTTACTGACAGAAGAATATTGAGAAAAATGAGTCTTGAACAAAAGTTAACAGGCTTCTTTTGTATGTTTTATGTAACAGATGGCAACAGTTTGTTTGACTCGATGGCTGGTGGAATGCGTCTGATCGTGAGCTGCATTTCCTCCTTCCTCATCCTCTCTCTGCTGCTTTTCATGGTCCACCGGCTACGCCAGAGGCGAAGAGAGCGCATAGAGTCTTTGATTGGAGCAAATTGTAAGTAGCCTGTATCTGTGACAAGTCTTGATCCAAGTGGTGTATGTGCTTCAGAATGAAGGGAGCAGAAGAAATACAAATCTGTGGAAAACATCAGTGGAAGCCTGGTTACAGATTCTAGTCCGTACTGTACCCAAATGTAGCTCTGCGGTGGCTGCCTGAACTGGTCATGATTTGTACAAGTTTTGGTTCTCTGAACCACTCCACATTCAAAGAAAAAACTTTTATATCAACACAATTATCTTGTGCCTCATGCTTATTATTAACAGATTGATGTATGGAAAGGTGAGAAATGTCACGGTCTTGCTTGTCTCTGCCTGTGTGTGTGTCTTGGTACGTTCTTTAAACCTAAACTTTTTTTAGCTGATAATGGAAAAATATTTTTTGTTTGTATGTGGTCCAGATTTGAAGTATCTTCTCTGTGTGAATGATGTCCTTAGTTTGAAGAAGTTAGATTCAAATTTAGATGTGATGCAGGACAGACAGGCTGGGAGCAGGTGGGCCTGGGTATCATTGTGTAACTGCAGTGAGTTGACTTGTATAGGTTATGTAGACTTTTTTAGGTCTTCAGGAGACATGAGTTCTTTGGGTGTGAAAAGTGGAAAAAGGTGTTGAGATCTGCCTTGAATTGAAGAAGAAAGCATGGGATAAACTCACTTGTTTCTTTTTCTTCTCTTGAAATAGTGCACCATTTTAACTTGGGCCGCAGGATGCCTGGTTTTGATTATGGTCCTGATGGTTTTGGAACTGGCCTTACTCCACTGCATCTTTCAGATGATGGGGAAGGTGGAGCATTTCATTTCCATGATCCGCCTCCACCATATACTGCTTACAAGTATCCAGATATTCAACATCCAGATGATCCGCCACCTCCTTATGAGGCTTCTGTCAATCCAGACAGCATCCTTTGTTCCACTGCAGGTATGAGCATCCTTTGTTCCACTGCAGGTATGCAGGCAATAACTTCTCTTTTCGTCATCTTTTTTATTTTGGCTAAAGGGTAGATGGTTGTTTAGTTTGGGGTTTTTTTTAAACTGTATTTATATGTTTTAGTGATTGTGATGGGAAAATGTGTTTCACAGTAAAAGCTCCTATTTCTGTGATGCAAAAGTCTTTTCTTAAAATATATCATTAAGCTTGTTTTTTCCCAATAGAGGTTGTTTGGATCACCTAAATCACAAGTGGAATCCATACTGCAAGCAGTTTAACTCTTAGACCTTACCTATTTTCAAGTCCTACCTTGGATGGGTTACCTGGTTACATAGTTTCCACTATGCTTGTACCTTTTGTGGTCTTTTGGAGATAAGTCTGTAGAGATTGGAATTAAAAAGTAGAACAAATGTCAAGTACAAGAGACTTTGAATAAAATATATCCAGCATCTTCTCTCCTCCCCACTTCCCCCACCCACATCCCCCCAAAATTGACCAAAAATATCACTTTCTAATGATTCACCCAGTGCTCTTCAGTTTTGCAGCTGCAATATTCACATACTGTAGGAATCATTCTAATTTGGGATCTTATAGCAGCATATCTCACAAGATAAGTGAGCCTGATTAGTGCAAGTATCTTATTTATATATCAAAGTTTTATTTTTGCTACATAATTTTATTCTTTTGCAGTGTCATCTGTTTGTGCATTAATGCAAAATGAAGAAACTAGAGCTTCCAGAAATACAGATAGTAAATCTATTTGGGAATGTGAAATGATACACTTCATGTTCTGATTCTGCTTGTTTTTTGTCCTTTGCAGATGGAGTTCTTTCTCAGACTGTGCAAAGCGGTCCTCCATCCCTGGGAAACTGTGATGTATCCCCACAGCTTACAGAGGGATCACTTGCTCCCTCAGTTGGTCCTTCTCCAGTGGAGCTGGAAGACTCTGCTGACAGCAGCACCTTTCTTGTCCCTCCGGACACACCGCTAAATGAAAACACACCGGCAGAAACTCTCACGGGCAGCCGTCACAGCCACTGTTCTCTGAATACCATTGTATAAAGGAGTAAAAAGTCGACTGCCAGTCAGGAAGAGTTTTAGCAGCTGTTTGCACAGACAAACACTAATCCATGGTTTGAACTTCAGAAGGATTCTCCACTTTGTTTTTTTGAACACTACTTTTATGTTCTAGATTAGGATTGTGCCTCTCGTTTTTTGGCTGTCGTTATTCATTCACTAATTGGTTTGTCCTGTAAATATGGATTGTATAACTGCTCTTGATTTCCATTGGCTATGGAAAAGACTGCAGAGAATTCCTTTGACTTCTAAGGAGGTGAAAAGTTATGGGTAGGGTGTTTTGGGTTTTTTTCTTAATCTGAGAGGAAACAAAATCTACATGAGAAAAAAGCTGCTTTGATTTGGCTGGATACCACTGGACCCAGGGACCAGACGATGGAAAAGGAGGGTGGGGGCAGTCGCTGTTCAATCAGTTGCTTTCTCTCTTGCTTCAGTGCTACACTTGGAAAAGGCAGAGAAGATGGAACTGCAGGGGAAGGGGCTGGGGGCCTGTTTTACAGAGCGGGAACGCAGGAGCTAAAACCCATGCCAGCAAGTAAGAGTTACGCAGTGTAAAACATTTACGTGTTTTGATCTGCCGTGCTGTTTCTGAACGCTGTAGGGTCTGGAGGATGAATGATCTACACAGTGTGTGACAAATGGGTACTAAGAAAGCTAGGATTTGCAATTACAATTATTTGTTGTTGGTATCTGCAAAATCTCATACTGTTGGGTAAACTTCTGGCCCATAAAGAAAAGTGGGTCTGTGTAATGCTTGTGTCCCTTCGGTAGAATCCTCATCTGTGTTAGGTAGTACTTTAGGGAAGAGACAGGGAGCAATTAACTTTGATGCAGTCTGACTTCACTGTATGAAGCCCCTGTTTGTATTAATCCCATAAGGAAGATTGAGGTGTTTTTCTTTGTGGTTTAACTCCTTTACAGTGAACAGTAAGATTGGCCTGGATAAAAGCCCATTGTTCTTGCTTTTCTTAGAGCATGCTATATTTAGCATGTAAATGTGTTCCCTCCACTTCACTTCTTTAACAGTTCTACAAAGGGCATTTAAAAACAGTGATCCACATGCAATAATTGTGATGTTTAATTCTAATTGGACACTTGTTTCTTATCCAAGTCTCATAATTCTAGGGGTTTCCCCTGTGCCCCCCAAACCATTTATCCAAGTCCCACGAGGGGTTACAATGATTAGTATACTTCAATCAGTAAAGCAGTTTGCTTCACTCCAGTATGTCATCTTAAATTTCCCCCTCAGATGGAACTTTTTAATTTACACATGGCAAAAAGATTCATTCACTCCCTCGCTACACCCAAACTCAAGCACTGTTGGTTTTGATAATGACTGCAAAATAATTTGATGTTAAATTTAAGTTTGGATTTCAGTGTACAAATAACTTCCCCCCCCATCCTCCTCTTGCCTCTGCTTCTCCTTGACTTATTGTAGCAGTCAGCAGATGAAATGAATTATAAGGAATTTATAAAGAATGCCCCTTGTGAGTGTTCTCCTATACCTTATGAAGGGTACAAGCCTAGAGGGATGGGAAGAAAGCACCACATGGGGGTGTGTATGTGATCTATTTTTCTAGTAATGATGAGAAATCATACTTGTATGACAAATCCTAACCCACTGATGTTGTTTCCCAGTTCTTTCCCCATTGAATATGCTGCTACTTTCTATTCTGTCTTGCCTATAGGCTCATACTGTACTTGGGGAATGGTCTTGACAATTCAACTCCTTTTGCACAGAAAACTGTGAGTTTCGCTATTAACATCATATCTGGTGTCTTGATATTCAGACACTTGCTAACAATCGTGAGTCCGTCGGAGAGCGTGAATCACAGTTCTGGGGTGCGCTGCTGGCACACGAGTGGGAGGAAGCACTGTTAGGAAGCCTCTCCACCTGGAGCCGTGCCACCGCCCGCGTCCTGCACTCTGGTTTGACTGGCTCTAACAGCAGTGGTACGAAACGAGAGGAGCAATTCTCCACCCTGTGGGATCTCTTTACTGTCTCCTCCTCTGAGTTCAAGTCCTGGTCTAATGAAGTGGATGGATAGCAGTAGTCAGAACCATGCTACAAATTATCGAGCATTTCTGAAGTATGAAAATAAAGCGGGTTTTGTGCATTTTTGAGCACATTCATACATTTTATACATTGTATGTACTGATTTTTCTTTAGTTTTATAGGTACGAATGCGTGTGTGCGCGCGCGTGTGTTTCTGGGTGGCGAGATATATATATATATATATACATACATACTGTAGAGGGTAACCTTTGTGCTTTGTCCAGCTAGGTGAAGCTAAGCACTGGGATATAAACTAGGCTCCTAGGGTTAATACTTCTCTCAAGCTGACTACACTCTGATGTAGGACAGGCTGTGATAGTGTACACTTTATTAGGATACAAAGTCTCTGCTACTACAATCTGTTACTGAAAAATATTTTGTTAGCAGTGCAAAATAGAAAACTTCCAATTTCTTTTGAAGCCAGATGGAATATTTGTTCTTTGTAGTATCCTAGCGCAATAACAAAAGGCCTTTTGGCTTGGTTTAGTCTCTGAAGCTGTGTTTTGTGGCTGAGGTGAACAGATACCTTACCTCATGCTTCTCCTAACACTACGGGAATCTGTTCGATGATTTTTTTTTTTTTTTTTTTTACTTTTGGTTCTGTGGTGAATTTTATTTGAAAATAAGCTCTGTTACAACTGGCAACTTCATGGTGGCTCCTGGTTGTAGCTGTTCCAAATGGAGGCTGCTTTGTAGAAGCCTCAGTGTTGTATTTTCCCCATTGCTTCTGAGCCTTTCCCACCTGTATATCGGCACAGAGGCTGCTATTTTCTTTCTTTTCCCCTATCCTCCTTCATCTTAACTGTAAACGAGGGAAATTTTGCCTTGAACGGGGCAGCTCGCTCAGTGCAGCTCACTTAGTACAGCTCGCTCACCTCTCGGTGAGCTTCTAATTTGGCAATAAAATTGTCATTTTTGCCCTTTTCAATGTAGCTTTTTCACATTGAGTATTTCCTCTAGGAGTAAGAGCCTTTGTAGCAGAAAACATCACAACTACTCAGACTCCTGGACCAACTGGGGAAGAGTTAAGTTTTCTTGACAGCAGTTGACTCAGCGAACCTTCCTTGCCCTTGGCAAGGTGACTGGTAAGCAGTGTGTCCTGAGCACCAATTAGGGAGCATTGATGCTTGCCTGAGGAAGACCTTTCTGGTTTGATTGCCATTAGATTGATGAGATCTTTGGAGTTACTTTGTGCGTTGATTTTTTTTGTTTTGTTTTGTTTTTCCCCACTACTGTTCGCTTCTCTGGATGTTTTTCTTAACTACTGATGCATCCTAAATCCCCCTCCAGACCCAGCGGGGGAGATGGCGTTACCACATCATTCCCAGCAGCACGCCTGAGCGGGGTGTGCGTTTCTCTTGGGATGCCTTTGACCGCAGTCATCGTGAAGCCGCAGCAGTCAGTTCTGCGCAGGGCTCGCACTTCCTGTTGTGGCCTCGGACAAAACCATTCCTCAGATTCCCCATCCTTACGACGTCCTGTGGTGCCATATTGAGGTCTGTGCTGTTCCTTCAAGAACAGCCCTAGATAGTCACTTCTGTCGGTGTTATCGGTGGTACATGTACACAGTCTTACAGCAGCTTCTACTTTTTTTACTAGGTGAGTTGTAGAGTATTGTAATGTTAGAAGGACAGTGGGTTTCATTCTGTGCTAGGAGATCAAAACTGTCATTCAGATGTATGAAGAGCTTGTCTGCGTAGTGTTCAGTCTTGTCGAGTTTTGAGCCTCAGACTACTCCTTCACCCATTCATGGCAGGACACCGGTCTAGAAGAAGAATTAAGTACGTGGAAAATTTTTTCTGAAGGCTTAATCTTGCAGTCAGTGGGTGCTCTGCCTCCCCAGGTGTGACAGAGTGATGGCCTGCTCACGTGTCTCTGGAGTTTCACTAGGAAGGTAATGGGTTTGTGACCAGTAATTACTGTTCTTTTCCTATCTAATGTTAAATGAATTTGAAGCTGGTTTAAAAGATGGTTTTTATCTTTCAAGTGTGGATTTTCAGTGGCAAAGCACCTAAGTTTTAATGTTGCCTCACACAATCTGTAACACGTCTCTCAGTTGCTGAAACTTCTTTTTTTCTCCCTAGCTAAGGAACATGCAGTGTACAGAAATGTCTTTTAAATTTCCCTTGCAAGTTGGGAGCTGGACCCTAAAATTGGAGCAGATTAGTGTAGAGGAGGCAAATCAAAGTTCATACATTTTTGCTTCTGATGTTCCCCAGTTCCATATGAAATACGCGTTTCTTTGGAATAGACGCTTTCGGCAGTGAAGATCTGCTTCCCCTAAAAGCAGCCTGCATTACCTGCCTGCTACGGTACGACATAGCTTTAATTTTCCGGTATTGTGCACCTTGAACGTTGAGTGGGTCGGAGCCGATGCCAGCGGAGAAGCTGTGCTGGCTGGCTGCGTGCGTGGCCGTGCTGCACCGTACCCCCGGTGTCGGGCCGGCGGGTGCCCGGGAGGCTGAGAGGGAGGATGAGACACTGCTTTTTACCTTCTCCGGGAAAGTAATTTTAGCCAACGCTGCATTTGCAGGCTTCTCCTGTGTAGCTGGTTTGTGACTGGACTTAACTGTGGCAATGTATAAAAGATTTTGATATTCTGTGAAATACCATGTAGAATTTAAATTTGATACTATAATAATTCAGTCCCTGTGACACTGGTTTTTTGTTTTAACTTCTTTCTTTGGGGTTGGCACTAATCTTTCTTTTTTTCTCAAGATGCTGTGAGAAACATTTCATCCAAATGCCAAATAAATTGTGTTCTGTAAGAGAAATGGCCTGTTCCAGTGTCTCCTGATTGCAGCATCGATGCGGTTCCTCAGTGTACCGAAGGAAGGTCTCGTTAAATCACGCTTCTGAGCAGTGATCTTGCAAAAAGATCGGTAGATGCATTTAACTTCAAGCAGGGTGGCTGCTGAAGTCCTTTTGTGTACAAACTCCAGTGGAATTTACCTATATTAGTGTAATTTTAGGACAATCTTGGCTGTATACCCAAGAAGGTGGAGTGCGGCTTGTTCCTGCTGTCCTCCAAGCCTGTGGGGAGGACACCAAGCCTCTGGGCAGGAGGTGCAGGTGGTTGGGCTGGATGGGGGTCGGTTCTGGACCCCCAGCTCCCGGCACGGTGCGGCAGGGCTCTGGGCAGTGATCCGAGTCTGTCGGAGAGCCGACGTGGAGTCGGAGGAGGACGGCGTTAGCGCTGAGCCTGGCGTGCCCAGCTGGCAGTGGGGGGGCTGGTGGAAAAGCCTGACGAGAGGTCCGGCTGTCCTGACCTCTTCAGCTATTCCAAAATTCGAGCTCCAAACTTCATCAGACTCCTAAAGGAAGGTTTTGGGAACTGT